GGCTTAATTGCTGTGCTAAGGGCTCAGCCCCTCTTCTTTCCTTAAGGTATTTTTTTTAAAAGCATGTTTTCTCCCAAAGTGTTGTTTGTAATCCGGGGTTTCATTGAGATGATCTGCCTCTCCGGTTACCTCTGCATATCACAGCCAGGCTTTGACTGCCATCAGGGACCTCCCACTTGCAAGTCCAGGGGAACCTCTGTCTCCCCTCTTACTGACCTCCCTGTGGTGTCGGGCTGCCGGTCCTTTGTTTCCATGGCAGCACCCTGTCTGGATTTTCTTCTTGCCTTGGGCAGGAATGTAGTAGCATCTTGGTGAAGAGCTCAAGGGTCATAGGCCTCAGCTCTGCTGCTGGTCACCTGGGTGACCACAAACTCTTCTAAGCCAGTGTGTTTCTACTGCAAAATGTGAAGCTCTGAGCACGGTGCGTGGCTCCTCTCTGCATGCAGCAGGTACTAGCTGCTGTTCTGGTGGTCGCCACCCTCCCTTCCTTCCTCCTCTGGTCTCTGATTCATCTCGTTCATAATGCCCTGTGTGCAGACCTCTCAGGCAGCTCCTACTTGCAGCTGTGTGTGCTGATCACCCTGAGCCTGCTTCTCTCCCTGCATGCCATCCCCGAAGGGAATCAGCTAAATAGCCCCCTGCTTCCCCGTCCTGTCCAGTTTCTGTTTGTCTTCCCCCCGCCCCTACTTTTGATTGGGTCCTCCTGACCTTCTTGAGTGGTAGCAATTTTTAAACCGGCTCCTGTTTTCATTCTTGCATGGTCCTTTGTCCCCACTGCACCCCAGGGTACATTACTGTGCTGAGTGGGCGTTGTTCTTCCCAGCCCGCCTGTCCTCTACTGCTCCCTGCTCCCAAGGGATGGAGTCTGCGCCCCAACCTGACTTTCGTGCCCCTCCTCCCCCCTCCCGTGACCTCCATGGTTTGTTTTTCTATTCAGCCTCACGGCTTGTTTCATTCTGTTGAAATACTTAATCCTTATCCAATTACCAGGTTGTTTCATGCTTCTATACTTTTTTCTTTTTCTGTTCCTTTTTTTTTCTTTCTTTCTGCTAGAAGCCACATGCCCTCACAGCAGAGAGAGATAGAGAGGGAGATGGAGCATGACCACACTGCTTTCTCTTCTCTTCCATTTCTCCGTTGTTATGGGATTTGGGGCCCACATGCACATGCACCCAGTGTGTTTATCAAGCCACTGGGTCGAGGACTTGAACCGTGTGGTCAGCCATGTAGGATCCAGCTGCCTTAACTTTCAGGCCATGGAGCTGATCTGCATTCTTCAGGTCCCTGTGCATGCTGAAAAATACCCTCCTGTAGTTCTCTCTTTTTTTGTAAAGAATTATTTTAATTAACTTACTTTATTTATTTATTTATTTATTTATTTATTTATAATCTGACCAGAGAGGGACAGAGTGAGAGAGAGAGAGAGGGGGAAAGTGAGAAAGCAAGCTGCCATGTCCAGGACTTGAACCTTGGTCGGCCATGTGGGAGTCCATTGCCTTTAACCACCATGTCACCTGCTGGCCCCCGTTCTGTACTTTCTTGAATGTGCTTGACAAGGTCACAGGCAACTTCGATGACTTTTGGTTTTTGGAATTTTTTCCCACTTATTCTCTGTCTACACTTCCCAGCTCAGTCCCCCTTTATGTGCTCACTTCCCCTGACCCAGCCTGTGTGTGGACATACTCTGCTGCACCCGATTATTTGTGTGCCTGTCATTCCTACTTTCAAGATCCTGACTTTCCTGGTCATTACTATTATACTTAGCATATGGGAGGCATTCAAAAAAAATGAACATTGAGGCGGATGAAGAAATAGGTGAACTATAAGGACCGTCACACCCACTCTTTTTTTTGGATAGATTTTTTTTTTAGCTGTAGGGCGTGTGCACTCCCCAGAAAGATACAGATTCAGAAAGCAAGAAATCACCTCCCCCAGGGGGGATGGCCCTGCCACAACCCCTTCTCCTTCATTCTCCTCTTGGGATCTTGGGCACGCACGCACATGCGCCTGGTGTGACTTTAAGCCACCGAGTCCAGGACTTGAACCATGGTCAACTACGGGGGTCATCACATCCATTATGCCAACTGCTGGTCCTCACACCCACATTTTCACATTAAGAAAATTTGATGATATCTTCATCGTGGGTTTGAATTGGGTCTATTAAATAGAACCAATGCTTTTATCTAAGAGGAATAACTTTCCGACCCTCCCTAATTTTGAAGGAGCATGTTCTCAAGTAAATCTAATGTGTTTCCCTCCTAACCTATAGCTACTTTTAGTTATGTTGAGCCATCTGAAATTGCCAGGTGATTAATCATTCAGTTTCATATGGCTCAAGCTATAGAACTAATGAAAGGAATTTTTTCAAGCATGTGTACAAGTTAGATGGGGTGGAGAGGAAGACGATCCTGGCCGTGGATCGATTTCCCACTCAGGAGAATGAACAGCTCTGGGTTAGTTTCATGGCCTCTCCACCAGACAAGTGGGAGACCCACTCTCCATTCTCCTTTCCTAGTTGTCTGCATTCCTTTGTTCAGCTGAGGACAGAGGGAATGAAAGATGCCACCAGTCAACAATATGGGACTGGGCCATCCACCTGGTCAACACCCCTTTTCTTGGATTGTATTCTCTTGATCCTAAACTTGATCCAGGAATTGAAGTTATAGGGAGCTTCATGAGGTCAGGTTTTCCTATAGGTTCTCCCATACCTGACTCTGTCCAGATTAAAGAGGGATTTTCTTCTCTCCTTGAACAAGAGGCAGGGCCACTGTTAAAGAGCAGATGAACCTGATGCTTACTGAAGTGGTCAGGAAGGCTTTGGTCAAGACTGTTGCATATGACTCATGGCTTTCACCATGGGGAAGAGATCAGGCTCAACTTCGAATTCAGGGGATACAACTCACCTGGGGGTTTTGCTTTTGTCCCATTTTGTATCTGCCAATGGGCAGAGTGAGGTCAATAGATGGAAAATTACTAAGAGGAGACAGAAAAGATAGGGGGATTTTTGTAAAATGAATGAATAGGATTCTTATCTGAAGGTAGGCCAGGATGATCAGATGTTGAGGGTCGTAGATGAGGAGGTTGATTGGACATCAAGGGGACCTTCCTCCATTTGGACTACTCTCACAGTACTGTAGACTGGGTGGCTTACAAACAGTAGGAATTTGGGGCTGCCCTACTGGGGTGGCCCTTCCGTCTTTCCTTCTGGGTAATAATTCTCCCCTTCCTCTCAGAGGAAGGACAAAACCGTCTTCTCATGACCCCCTCACATAGCTATCCCACCTATGGAGTAGGCTGCTTGGTCTACTTTCCCAAATAAACTTGCTTTCACTCTCCCTCCCTTTAAACAAACAAACAAAAAACCCCAAAATGGAACAAAAGTAAAACAAACAAACAAAAAGAACAAAAAAAATTACAGAAATGTATTTCTCACAGTTCCAGAAGCTGGAAGTTTTGCGATCAAGGAGCCAGCATGGTCAGGTTCTGGTGAGGGCGCTCTTTCAGGGTGAAGACTGTTGCCTTCTTGTTGTCTTCTTACTTGGAGGACAGAGGAAAGCAAGTTCCCTTGGGACTCTCAGAGTGATACTGTTCCCATCCTGGGGCCTTACTCTCGTGACTGCATCTAATCTTAATAATCTCCCAAAGGCCCTACCTCCTAATCATCACATTATGATATAGCCTTCTGACTTTTTTTTTTTTTGAGAGATTTTCGCTATAGGGCGCGTGTGCTCACCAGACAGACAGAGAGAGACATAGAGACAGAAAGCGAGAAATCACCCCCCAGGTGGGATGGTCACGCCGCAATCCCTTCTCTTCCATTCCCCTCTCGGGATCTTGGGCACGCACGCACACGCGCCCGGCGTGAGTTCTAAGCCACTGGGTCCGGGACGCGAACCGCGGTCGACTATGTGGGAATCCAGCGACATAGCCATTACGCTAACTGCTGGTTCCCTAGCCTTCTGACTTTTAAGGATCCAATGATGTTGCAAACTTTTTTTGATTTACTATTTTTTTTTTTCATTGCCAGAGTATGCCTGTGCTTGTCAGAGAAAGAGAAGGAGAAAGCATTCCATAATGTGGCGTATCACAGTGTAATCCCTTGTCCTCCTCTATTTCTTCATACTATCAGAATTTGGGGCCCTCTGTGTTTTACAAGCTTCCAGGGCTGAGACTTAAACCTCAGCCATGTAGGATCCAGCTCCCTTAACTACCAGGCTATGGGGCTGGTCAGAAATACTTTCTTTTTTTTTTTTTTTTAAAGTCTTTAAATAAACTACATATGCATAGGAATGAGACAAAAAGCTGCATATTAAGGGCATTGCTTAGAGTAGGGTGCTCAGGGTAGAGAATCAGTTATTTATTTGTTTGTTTGTTTATTTACCTATTTATTTATTTTTGAGGGTTTTTTTGCTATAGGGCAGAGACCAGAGACAGAAAGATAGAAAGGAAGAAATCACCCTCCAGGGAGGAATGACCAACAACAATCCTTTCTTCTCCATTTTCCTCTTGGAATCTTGGACTCACATGTACACATGCTTGGCCTGAGTTTCAAGCTACCAGGCCTGGGACTCAAACTGCGGTTGACCATGTGGGAGTCCAGTGCCCCAACCACTACCTACCTGCTGGCCCCAGGGCATCAGATTTTAATGTCACCATGGCATGTTATAGATTAAATGGTAAGAGAGACCATGTAAAACAATCCTGTAGGAAGTATCCTCTGAACCGGGAGGTGTTGGTGGACATGATCATAGTGGCACTGTGCACGGGAATTGGTTGCCTGCTTCCCCACAGACAGCATTGCAGGTGGGTCGGGGTGTGGCTCACAACCTGAATCAGTTTGACTAGTCTGCATTACAAATGGCCCACTGCCTATTTTGAATGGGTTCACAAATCTTATCACATGGCAAATTTAGGAACTAAACATGATATATAGCAAGTAGCTTACTGTTTCTCATTTTCTTTGTCAAATACAAAAAATACCACTGTGTTTCCCACCTTAGGTTCTCAAAGGCACCGTGACCGACTTCCCTGGATTTGATGAGCGGGCTGATGCCGAAACTCTTCGGAAAGCCATGAAAGGCCTGGGTAAATTCAGTCTTCTTTTTAAAAATAAAATAACATAAAATAAAAATTATTCCATGAGTGAGAAAGATGAAGACAAAGAGAGAGAGACAGAAAGATAGCATCCCCAGTAGGGTCTTGCTGCTGCAATCCACCCCCACCTTCAGCCAGCCCGGATCATGTACATGTGTCCTGTGTACTCAGGAAGCCTCTGGATTTGAACTGGCAACCTTTTGGCAGTAGGTCAGCCTTGCAAAGAATTGGTTTTCACTGCTGCACCACAGTGTGGCTCCCGAGCTTCCTTTTTGTTCTAAAAAAATGTGGCATTTGTTTTTCCAAAGAAAAAGATACTGATTACACAAAGGTTAACCTTTAGCATATTTAGATCTGGAATATATAGGAGAAAAGATATATTAAGGTAGCAAATAATACTGCAGAGTGTTCCCGGCATTGTCTCTAGACCTGAGTAGGCGGTTGAATTCCGCTTCTTTGCTCTTGCACCTGCCAGCTTTACCTGTACGGAGCTGATAATGAGGAGGGGATAGATAGGCAGCCAGCTGGAGCACGACCGGGGCTGTCCCCTGCGCTCCGTCAGAGGTCCAATTCTCCTTTTGCAAGCCTTTTCCACAGGACTCTTCTCTTTCCCCTGCCTCTTCTCCAGCCATCTACAAACCTCTCACCTGGAGGATTTCCCTGTGTAACTGACCTCCCTGGGCCCAGACTGCTTCTGCACTGGTGTCCCTGTGCCTTCTGGCCTCGCAGGCCGACTTACCTGCTACTCACAAAAGCCCTGTATTTTCTTATTGCCGCACTTTGCCCTCCCCTGAAAAGCCTGTCCTTTCTCCATCCTGCAAGACATTTTGAGTGTCACCTTCTCCAGGAAGTTTTTCTAAGACTTCCTTCCACCTCCCATCAATGGAGAGACCCTTGTTTGAACCTACTGAACACCTGGACCTCTCACGAGGGGTTTGTCACATTCACTTTTGCTGATAGTCACTAGTGCGGTTTTGTGTTTTCAAGGCTAAATGACCTGTCATTTGAAGCCCGAGATTATGTCTTTCTCTTCTCTCAGACCTCTGTAACACCCAGCACACTGTGTCTTGTGAATAGCTGTTATTCGAGTAACAACTGTGTATTGCGTGAAAATGTAGGTGCCCTCAGTCTTTGAAAAGTCAGGAGTTGTTTTCCACCGACTTCACAATACATGGGGGGTGAGGGTAGTGTGTATGAGAAGGCTAGCATTTTATATATAGTAAATTTTGTATTTTTAATAAATTATATACTAAAACATAAAATGTATTCTATCTTGTCATGGAAGGAGGTAAAGAAAGAAAGTGGGGCAGCTGGCCGTGCGAGGGGCTGGAGAGGGCGGGCGTGGGCGCAGAGCTGTAGCCCGTGGACCTGAATTGCAGGCACTGATGAGGACAGCATTCTGACCCTGTTGACATCTCGAAGTAACGCTCAGCGCCAGGAAATCACTGGGGCTTTCAAAACACTATTTGGCAGGGTAAGTATGCACTTCATCACAAGGTAGGATGTGAGAGCGGCCCTTTTTTTTTTTAATGCCAGAGGGCATGTGTGCGTGCAAAAGAGAGAGGAAGACAGAGGGAGAGAGAAGAGAGAGATGTACTCCCCCACAAGGCTTCTCCCACCACAGCCAGCCAGGATCATGGGCACACCGTGCCCAGTGTGAGCAGGTAGACCCCGGGACGCACACCCTGGCCTTTCCCTGTGCTCTCCGCATCACCGAGCATGGCCTCACTGCCGTGCCACTGCAGCTGGCCCTCCAAACAGTGTACGAAATGCTTTTTCTTTGTTCCTTAGAAAGCACGTGTGCATGCACGTCAGAGAGAGGAGAGGAGCAACCTCCATGGGGTCTGGTCGTGCCGTGATCACCCTCTACTTGGCTTCGGTCTTGGGCATTCGTGTCTGTGCCTTGTGTGTTTCAGGCCCACTGAGCCATGGTCACTGTGAGATTCAGTTCTCTTGAACAGCGTGCTATTGCTGTATCACTGAGTTGGACCACAAGATTTTTTTTTTTTTTTGGTTTGTTATAGGGCATGTACGCTCACTGGAGAAAGAGACAGAGAGAGGTTGAGAAATCACTCCCAGGGTGTATAGCCGTGTGACAATCCCTTCTCCTCCATTTTCCTCTTGGGATTCTGGACACGCATACTCATGTTTTCAAGCTACTGGGTCTGGGACTTGAACCTCACTGTTGGCCAGGCAGGATCCAGCCATCTCAGACTCCATACCACCTATTGACCTGGCTCACAACAGTATTTTTTTTCATAATTTAATTTTATTATTTTTAAAAATTTGATGAGAGAGAAAGGGGCAGGCAGGACGCGAGAAAGCAAGCTGCCAAGTCTGGACCCTGAATCGCAGTCACCCATGTCGAAGCCCAGTGCCTCAACTACCAGGCCACCCCACCAGCCCTCTCACAATATTTTCAAAGAGAAATAATTTTAGCCTAGTTTTAAGGGTATTTATATTTTAAAAAGTCCTTGACATTAACAAAAGCAATTTCTTTTATTTGGGAGAGGTTTTTGCTATAGGGCACATGTGCTCACCAGAGAGACAGAGAGGCAAAAGCAAGAAATCACCCCCCAGGGGGATGGCCATGTTGCAATCCCTTCTCCACTCTCCTCTTGGGATCTTGGGCACACACACGCACGCACCTGGCATGAGTTTAAGCCACCAGGTCTGGGACTTAAACTGTGGTTGACTACATGGGAGTCCAGCGACATAGCCGTTACGCCAACTGCTGGTCCCAACAAAAGCATTTAAAAAAAAAAAAAAAGAAGGCTTCAGCCCAGCCGTGATGGTGCAGAAGTGTCTTTACTATAGCTTCAAATTCAGGTCTGTCGTCAGCAGGGCATGGTTCAGGGCTGTGGTTTAGCTCGCACCTTCTGCTCGGAGACAGCCAATAAAGCGTTCACTGGAGCAGGTGGTTGGCTTGCATATTTCAGTGGACCTACTTACTATTTCTGTCCCATTAACGAGTTTGTGTTTTCGGTGAGTTAGGATCTCCTGGATGACCTGAAATCCGAACTGACTGGAAAATTCGAGAAGTTAATTGTGGCTCTAATGAAACCTTCTCGGCTGTATGATGCCTACGAACTGAAGCACGCTCTGAAGGTAAAAAGGATGAGTGAAAAGAGCATTCTGGTCTTACAAATTATTTTGTTTTGGTAATTGCTACGTCTTATTTGTTGTATTTTAAAAATTTTATTTGACTTATTTCAGTGAGGGCTGCTTGGAGGACAAAACTGGGAGACAGTAAGAAGTCAAGGAGGGAGAAAATAACAAGTTTGTCATTTAATCTTTTTGTATATTTAAATGCAAACATATTGGCTGTTTAGTACTTTAACATTTATAGCTTCTTTTATTTTTCTGCCTCACTTCTAATGTTTTTAACAGAAATGTTAAAAAATGTTATAGATGTGATATTTTATCTTCTTAAACAGAAAGTTGCCTTATTAGGAAACAATAAAATTCTTCCTATTTTAGGTTAAAAGGAAAGCTTCAGACAGGTTTCTTTGTTTGCTTGCTTGTTTTTCTTTTAAGTGATTTATTATTTAACTTTATTTATTATGTTTTTTTTTTTAATTTGCTATAGGGCACATGTGCTCACCAGAGAGAGAGACAGAGAAAGAGACAGTGAGAAAGCAAGCAACCAGGTCTGGGACTTGAACCATGGTTGGCCCCTTCAGACTGTTTGAAAGATAAGAAAGATCAATCATACCCATTTTTTACTTTCTTACACTTCTAACCACTGAAACCAAGTCATTAGTAAGCTTGTTATAGTTTCATTTGTAGCAAAAACTAAATGTGTACTCCTGAGGTGGAGGTTGGGAATATCGTATAAATATGGCTGCACCGAAACACTTGTTTAGATTTAGCGATAGGAAGTATAGTTCGTTCAGTGCTTGCCGTTGGATTTTGAGTGGCCCAACTGAGACTTCACGGTAAGGAGACGATGTGGCTCAGGGATTCTTGCTTATGGAGTGCAGGGACGAGCTTCATGCACTTAGGAGCCTATTTATGTGTAGTGTCTTCATTTTCCTATAATAATTCTTTTGGAATAAACAAAATCTTAGAGTTTTGGGAAAAGGACTTTTCCGCAGAGTGCTTCTGAAATGGCAGTAGTAGCTGAAATTCTGCCAGAGAGCGAAGCTAGCTTTTCAGTGTTTGATTTTTGGTTATGAAAGAGGAATATAAAGAAAATAAGGTTTAATATGGTATCTTTTAAAAACATTTAGTTTAGTTGTATTGTTGTTTGTGTCTTCTAATTTAGTAGTGTCGATGTAACTTTAATATAAAAGAAAACCAACTATAATTATTTTTTGAAAAAATCTAGAAAGTGAGTCCCAGGTTTTTGTGTGTTTGTTTTTGTTGTTTTGTTTGTTTGTTTTTAAAATTTGCCTGAGGATGCATGCACTTATTAGAGAGTGACAGAGAGAAAGAGACAGGGAGAGGGAGAAAGCATCCCTTCAATGAGGCATGGTCACACCACAATGCCGCCTTCTTCATTTTTCCATTTTGGACAAACATGCATATTAACCTGGTGTCTTTTTCAAGCTGCCTGGGTATGGGATTAGAACTGCAGGGTTGGCCACGTGGGATGTGGTTTGCTTAACTACCAGGCCGTGGGCCATCTGAGTTGCTATTTCTTTCTTTTTTTTTTTTAAAGATTTTATTTAACTTTATTTTACTTATTTAATTTAATTTGACCAAGGTGGGGAGAGAGAGAGAGAAAGCAAGCCACCAGGCCTTGAACCACAGTCGATCATGTGGGAGTCCAGTGCCCTTAACCAGCATGCCACCTGCCAGCACAGCAGCTGCTATTTCTTTTTTTTTTTGGAGAGGTTTTTTCGCTATAGGGTGTGTGCGCTCGCCAGACAGACAGAGAGAGACATAGAGACAGAAAGCGAGAAATCACTCCCCAGAGGGGATGGTCACACCGCAATCCCTTCTACTCCATTCTCCTCTCGGGATCTTGGGCACGCACGCACATGCGCCTGGCATGAGTTTTAAGCCACCAGGTCCAGGATGGGAACTGCGGTCAACTACGTGGGAGTCCAGCGACATAGCCATTGCGCTAACTGTGGTTCCCTGGAGTTGCTATTTCTTAGTGATCCAATTTCTATGAACTAAGCCATGCTGTACATAGTATTTAGTGCTACCTTTGAGGCATAATTTCCCTGTAGTGCCATGCAGAACAGCACTTGAGAGTAAGGGTTGATTTTTTTTAGTACAAATAGTTCAGGTATCAGTTCCCGTCCACGTACATTTATGTAATGTTTTTAGTTTTGCTATTTTGTTATTTAGTCCATGTTTCATTAAAATGTTTTAGTTTTGAGCTAGCATTCAAGGATTAAATTACAACTTACCAATTCATATACCCTGATGTAATAGCTACATGTGTGTGGGGAGGTATCTTCAACAAGTTCGTGGGAAAGTTCATGTAGTATTAGGAAAATACTGCATGGATTTCACATTTCTTTTTTTGCATCCAGAAAAACTCATAATTCCATTTTTCCATACATTTTTAAAAGTTCACTCATTTATACACAGATACCTGTACTGCACAATAAACATTTTTCATTAGACAAAAAAGAATGTAATTGTCTTTGGAAAGAAAATAATATTTGACATTTCTTAAGTCTGTAACTAATAGAATTTGTATGCAACAAAGCCCTCGTTATGCTGGGTCATATTTTCATAATTATATAACGTGGGTAACATATTCTAGGAATATAACCTTTTTGCTCTTATTGATGTGTGTTCGCTATTAAAAAATGCGTCTCTAAACAGGGAGCTGGAACAGATGAAAAAGTACTGACAGAAATCATTGCTTCAAGGACACCTGAAGAATTAAGAGCCATAAAAGAAGTTTATGAAGAAGGTAAATATTTCGAATTGTGTGTCACCTTCAAGTCCACTGTCATTTCTCTGATATGAGTGCAGTTGTTCATAGATACGGGAAATATGTGATTGTAGAATGAGTCTTCCCTTCAGGAAGGGAAGACCTGCCTTTTTACTTGTAATTTTTTCTTAGTTTGTTTATTTATTTTTTAAATCATATTTACGCATTCATTTATTTTAATTTGACCAGGGAGAGACACAGAGGGAGAGAGAAGAAGAAAGTGAGGAAGCAAGCCACCGGGCCCTGGACTTACCCTATGGTCGGCCATGTGGGAGCGTCCAGCACCTTAACCACAACACCACCTGCTGGCCCCAGTAGTTTATTTCTAACTTATCATTATTTTTGTAGTTTATAAGAAGTTGCTGGTGGAGTTTGCTTTTGTATATGATTTGCAACCAGTGTAGGAGTATACAGGTTGCCTTTTTTTTAATATTAGCTTCAAGGAATAAGTGGTTTTTCTCTTTACATAATTCAGTTTTATGTTGGTAGAAGTTAAGAGTTATCAAAAGGTACTTTTGGTACCTGGAAAAAGAAACCTCTGCTTTTCCAAATCAAAATTGATAAAAATATTTGAGTAAATGTATGTTATTTTAGCTAATGACAATGCGTGAATAAAATACACTCTATCTTAATTTTCCTTTTCAGTGTTCTTTGCTTTCTTTCTTTCTTGTGTGTGTTTGTGAAAAAAATAATCTAGATTTTAATGTGAAGTGTGTCCTGTGTGTGGATTAAAGAAAAGTAAATAAAAGTAAAGGCAGAAAGTTCAGTTCTTGTCAGATTTCCTGTAGCAGGGTCGTTCTCCTACTGGGGTGAAAAGAAACAGGCTAGGTGGGTTTTGGGTAGGGAGAGAAGGCATTTTTGGTCAGTGCACCCACTGTTTTCGATGGTGTGGAACCTGGACTAAGGAGAGTGTTCCACAGGGACAGACAGAGGCTGGCTGTCATGGAGAGCATATATTTGTGCTTTATGGGAGAGTAAGTGAACAGGTGAGGTTGCTTTGGTGATAGACGGTTTCGCATGACAGGGCTAGGAATTTGGACTCGATTCAGAGGAATTGTAAGCTCCTGAATGGACAACGGAGTGTTGGAGGAACCAGTGAGGGACGAAGGCAATGTGAAGCAGGAGGCTAATCAGGCTAATCACCTGTGTGGGAGGCGATAAGCTAGATGCCATGTAGTCCCGACCCATGCTGGCTGGGTGGGAGGTCTGAGGAGGATAAAGCAGAATGAAGAGAATGTTCGACAGAATTTGATGGTTATAATATATAGTGTTGGAGTGTATGAAGGTTTTGCATTTGGGTTGAAATGAACATGAAAGTCTTTTTGGCCTTTTAAAAGAGAAGTGTCAGGCTTTTAATGTTTGTCTGATTTCAAATAATGATTGAATATTTAAATACTTTATAGTAATACCTCCTTTCCTTCAATAGCAGCTGTCTGAGAGTTAGCAGAAAGGGCTTGTAGGCACTTCTAGATCCCTGTACTCACCTGTCCTGTGACCTTATATTGAATAGCGGAATGGGAGGGGGCATCCTTTAAAAATATCATTGCCAGGAGCCACCAGGTGGTGTAGTTAAGGTGCTGGACTTCCACATGGTCGAACACTGTTTGAGTCCTGGACCCAGTGACTTGACACTCATGCCAGGCATGTGTGTGTGTGTGTGCGCGCACGCGCCCAAAATCCCAAGAGAAGAATGGAGGAGAAGGGATTACAGAATGGCCATCCACCCAGGTGGTGATTTCTTGCTCTCTGTCCCTTCATCTCTCTCTCTCTCTCTGTCTCTCCGGCGAGTGCACATGCCCTATAGCAAAAACGTCTGAAAACAAAAAAATCGTTGCTGCCCCTCAGAGTTACCTTTATTTTCTTGTAGAGAAAGGAAAATCTTAGGGGAAGGATACCATGGCTTAAAAAATGAAAACTCAGGGTATTCAAGGATGGAAAATATTTAGATGTTTGGAAACTAATCATGAAAAACACTTGCAAGAAAGCAAAGCAACTTTAAGTTTAAACTTTGGATGGATTTGTATTGAAGAGATTTCTCCAGTACCTTCGTGTGTCTATAGATGGGTAACTCCACTGATCGAGAGCATTTCCAAATGACTGTGTCAGGATTTAGGCTTGAATCAAGCACTTATGGGAGACTTAATTTAATTCATTTCTGTCCAACCATTTACTCAGAGCCTTTGCCTTTGGCCTTCAGAGCACTCAGAGATGAAATAGAGTGAATTTTTGTTGATCCAATATAATATTTCTTCCTTTCTGTCTCTTTATTCGTTTAATGGGGCAGGATACTTTTTTCGAGTCGAAGGAAGCTGTAAATAAGCCTGAAATTATTCTGTTGCAGAATACGGCTCCAGCCTGGAAGACGACGTGGTGGGGGATACTTCTGGATACTACCAGAGGATGTTGGTGGTTCTCCTTCAGGTACTGGGTGGAGACTAATAATAGTTCAGTTAGAAAGTCTAAAGTTGGACCGGCCTGAATCTAGTTATGTAAGGGCACTTAACATTTCTAAAATGATTTCTGGTTCTTTTCATTCCTTGTGTCTGGTTGTTTTCATTCCGTCGGAGCTGATTCGGGCCGTATGTCGCCCGAGCTTGCTTGTGTTTCAGGATGTCTGACCCAAACTCGTGACGGCTAACTCGTAGTTTTGTTTTTGGTAGCAGTATCTTCTTTCTTTTATAGAATTTAAAATCGAGAGGGTCAGATTGGTTTTGGGCAGTGCCGTGTGATAGTGTAAAATATTGTCAGGATTGAGATGATCTTAATAAAAACATACTCTTCCTAAGAGAAAAAGCGCTCTCTCTGCATAACCATCAGGCTCGGCCATTTTTCCTTTTGCCTGGAAGTGCTCTGCAATTCCGTAATGTGACGTATTATCACCTACAGGCTAACAGAGACCCCGATGCTAGAATTAATGAAGCTCAAGTTGAGCAAGATGCTCAGGTGAGTGAAGCCCTACGTGCAGTGATTTTTTTAACTTCTTTAAAAAAATTTTTTTTTTTTAAGAATTATTTTAACTTTATTTATTTAGTTAGTCCAATTTGACCAGAGAGGGACAGAGTGAGAGCAAGAGAAAGTAAGAAAGCAAGCCACCAGGTTCAGGACTCGAACCGTTGTCAGCCATGAGGGAGTCCAATGCCCTTAACCACCACGCCACCTGTCCACCCCTAAAAATGTTTTCATTTATTAGTATTATTTGTTAGATTTGCTATAGGGTACATGTGCTCGTGAGAGAGAGAGAGAGAGAGAGAGAGCGAGCGAGCGAGAGCAAGAAAACAGATCTGGGACTTGAACTGCAGTCAGCCATGTGGGCATCCAGTACCCTAACCATCATGCCACCTGCTGGCCCTCAGGCAATGATTTTATTATGATATAGGAATGAAAAAATAATTCATAATAATAAGGAATCACAATGTATGTTGTAATAACCTTAGAAATGATATGGGTCCCTTATAAGTCATAAGACCCATGTATAATAATTTTACTCCAGTCTGATAAAAAAAAATACTTATTTTATCCCAAAGGTGAAATAAAATTAATTATGTAATAAATTCCACCTAAACTTGTTTTTTTGGACTGTGATTATGGAACATTCACAAAAGAGAGTTTTACAGAAAATTAAGTGTTACTGATTCTGCTATGAATGATGAAGGTTTTACTAAGAGAAGATGAAGAAAAAAGAATAAAATACAATATTTAACAGTGAATGGTGTTGGGACCAGCAGTTAGTGTAATGGCTATGTCGCTGGACTCCAATGTAGCTGACCGCAGTTCGAGTCCTGGACCTGGTGGCTTAAACTCATGCCAGGCACGTGTGCGTGCATGCCCAATATTCCGAGAGGAGAAGGGATTGCGGTGTGGCCATCCCTACTGGGGGGGGGGGCGATTTCTCACTTTATATCTGTCTGTCTCTCTCTGTCTTTCTGGTGAGTGCACGCACCCTATAGCAAAAACCTCTCCAAAAAATAAAGTAAAAGAAAAACAGTGAATGGTGCTGATTACATAAAAAACAACAAATTATTTTAGTATTAGGGAATTTCTCTGCATTTCCTTTGACAGAACTTGAAACGGGATCATTCTTTTGTTAATTGCTTTCTAGTGACTTCAAAAGGAAAACTTGTACTTCAGTGGATTTTAAATCATGCTATCATTTCAGTATGGTTTAAAAGCAATCAAACATGGGAAATAAATGTTAGGAAATTTGAACCATGAGAGGTAAAATTGGAAATTGGTAACAAAGGAACGCCTTGGGTTCTGTTGGCGGAATCACTTATCATCGCCCTGCTCCATGGTCACGTGTTTCATGTAAGAGAATGCCCAGTCCTTGGCTGTTAGTCATGCTGCACTGAAAAGTGAGGGGCCGGCCCTCCTGCGGTGACTGTTCTGTGGGAGACCACCAGCGGATATGTGATCCAACTGCCTGGAGGAGAGAGGAGAGCATCTTGTTCTTCCCGGTGGGTGATTTCATGATGGCTTCAGGATACTTATACGTCTGTCTAGCTAGACAGAAAAAGGAAAGGAAAGTACTGCCTGTCGAGGGCTCTCTGGACAGTACTGACTCTGGTCTCCCTGGTTTTTTTTTTTTACAAAACATAAGCCTCTTAGGTCACGCACATCCCTACTGAACCTGAAAACTCTCCATATTCCCACTAGACCCACTACGCATGGCCTAGGCTCCTGCATGTGGTTTACAAGCCCTTTGTATCTGTGCCTTGCTTACCTAGGCCTCCAGCCCCTTCCTGTTCTTCCTTTCTCCTGTTACCCCACTCAGCCCCAACTGGTAATTCCTCCTCAACGGGGCAATCCTCAGCATAGGTCCTTTTTTATTTTTTATTTTTTTCCCTTTTTTTCTTAGTTTTTGCTATAGGTCACATGCACTTACTGGAGAGAGATGGAAAGTGATAGAGAGGAAAAGCAAGACATCACCCCTCAATGGTGATGACCACACTGCAATCCCTTCTCCATTGTCCTCTTCTCTTGGGATTTTGGGCACGCACTCACATAGGCCCGACATATTTTCTAAGCTGCCAATCCAGGACTTGAACCATGCAGTTAGCTACATGGGGATCCAGCCATTTTAACCACAGTACCACCTGGCTGGCCCGGTACAGGTACTTTTCACATGGCCCTTTCTGATCCCCTCCCTCAGACTGACTCAGGTGCCCCTTACAGGGAGAACGACGGCCCACTCTCCCTGGCACAGCCCTGCCCCTTCAACAGAAGCCGCCTGTTTACCCAACTGCTTGTCACTGAGCTGCCACTTCAATGGGTATTCTCAGCTCCTGGCTTGTTGTCCGCATCAGTAGATGAGGGGTGAAGACGCTAGTGCTTTAAAGGAGAGCGGCACCAGGTTCCCTTTTACTGGGAAGGAAACACCTGCTGCCCATAGTAGACTTGGAGCTGGGATTCCCAACCAGGCCTGACCACAAGCCTTCTCTTTCACTCAATAATTCAGTTCCTCTTGCCCATTTCTTCTTCTTTTTTTTTTTTTTTTTTTGAGAGATTTTCACTGTAGGGCGCGTGCGCTCGCCAGACAGACAGAGAGAGACATAGAGACAGAAAGCGAGAAATCACCCCCCAGGGGGGATGGTCACGCCGCAATCCCTTCTCCTCCATTCTTCTCTCGGGATCTTGGGCACGCACGCACACGTGCCCGGCGTGAGTTTTAAGCCACCGGGTCCGGGACACGAACCGCGGTCGACTATGTGGGAGTCCAGCGACATAGCCATTACGCTAACTGCTGGTTCCCTTGCCCATATCTTCTGTACTCTAAAGAGTTTTTGAAATGTAGGTTGGAGGCACTGATGAGCCTAGCTCAACTCTCCTGTGGGGCAGGGGCTGGAGCAGTCCTAGCAAATCTGTGCTCCCCCATCAGGCGCCCTGTGCAGTCAGGGGGCCCCTCCTGTGTGCCAAGTGTTGCTTGTCGTGGGCCGGAGATGATGCCGCTTCTCATATTCCTCCTCCCGAGATGGGGACTTCTGGGAGCTTCTCAGCAGCCTGGCTGAAAGAAGCCAGTTGTCTCAGTGGCTGGGGTGAGGCCTGCATGAGCCAGCCCTGGGCAGACTGCCAATGGTGGGGATGTAATGAGCACCCCTGCAGGGGAGACTCCGGAGGGAGGAACAGGCATCGCGCCTGCCTTCCATTGATTTCTGTCCTCCGAGACTCACGGCGACAGCACTGCTTCTCACACCACACAGGCGTGCGACTCACCTGGGGATCTTTTTTTTTTTTTAAGAAGTTTTTGCTATAGGGCATGTGTGCTTGCCAGAAAGACAGAGAGAGACAGAGAGATAGGAAGGGAGAAATCACCCACCAGGGCGGATGGCCACGCCGCAATCCCTTCTCCATTCTCCTCTCAGGATCTTGGGCACGCACGCACACGTGCCCAGTGTGAGTTTGAGCCACCACGTCCAGGACTCGAACTGCGGGCGACCACATGGGAGTTCAGCGACATAGCCATTACGCTAACTGCTGGTCCCCACCTGGGGGTCTTGTGACACTCTAAATTCTGGTACTGTGGGGCCTAGAATTCTGCATTTCTGACACGCTCTTAGGTGACACTGATACTGAGTCCTAGGACCACATTTTGAGTGTTGAGATTATGGCATTGTTTAAGTACCCCTTGAACAGAATCTGAACTTTCTGTCTCCTTTCAGTGACCAGGAACAACACAGGGCATGCTACCCTGACTCTTTACAATGTGTTGTTTTAATTCAGCCTGTTGAAAACAGTTACTCTTCCAACTTAATGAAAAGGGAGACACCCACCTGTACCTGTGGCAGGAGCAGCTGCACTGTCATCACTAATGAGAATTTACCATGTCCTAATTGAAAGTACGCCGAGATAACCCAAGGGCCCTGTCATGAGCTTGTGAATTTTTTTCTCTACTGATCCCTGACACTAAGAGGATTCTTATTACTTCCACGGTTTGATAACCCGCAGTGAGTCATTCACTTGGGAACTAAACATTTTGTTTTTAATCTGCTTTCCTTTTTTACATTTTTAATGTAAAAACAAAAACTAATTTAAACTTTATGATCTGTTAAAACTGATTTGACCTTCTCCCTGGTCAAAGTCTTGTTTTCTGCTTTCTTTGGAAGGAGACTAGAATTCTAGGGGAAAGACAGAGGGACTACTGAGTAGCTGGTGCCGATTGCCTGACACTGTTCAGGAAATTACGTACGTTACCCGATCTCCATTACTCACTCTAGAAATCTTTTCATTTTTCATTAATTATTTATTTCAGTTTTTCTGTAGAGTGTGTACACTTGCCAGAAAGAGACAGAGAGAGAGAGAAAGTGAGTTCAGCGACATAGCCATTACGCTAACTGCTGGTCCCCACCTGGGGGTCTTGTGACACTCTAAATTCTGGTACTGTGGGGCCTAGAATTCTGCATTTCTGACACGCTCTTAGGTGACACTGATACTGAGTCCTAGGACCACATTTTGAGTGTTGAGATTATGGCATTGTTTAAGTACCCCTTGAACAGAATCTGAACTTTCTGTCTCCTTTCAGTGACCAGGAACAACACAGGGCATGCTACCCTGACTCTTTACAATGTGTTGTTTTAATTCAGCCTGTTGAAAACAGTTACTCTTCCAACTTAATGAAAAGGGAGACACCCACCTGTACCTGTGGCAGGAGCAGCTGCACTGTCATCACTAATGAGAATTTACCATGTCCTAATTGAAAGTACGCCGAGATAACCCAAGGGCCCTGTCATGAGCTTGTGAATTTTTTTCTCTACTGATCCCTGACACTAAGAGGATTCTTATTACTTCCACGGTTTGATAACCCGCAGTGAGTCATTCACTTGGGAACTAAACATTTTGTTTTTAATCTGCTTTCCTTTTTTACATTTTTAATGTAAAAACAAAAACTAATTTAAACTTTATGATCTGTTAAAACTGATTTGACCTTCTCCCTGGTCAAAGTCTTGTTTTCTGCTTTCTTTGGAAGGAGACTAGAATTCTAGGGGAAAGACAGAGGGACTACTGAGTAGCTGGTGCCGATTGCCTGACACTGTTCAGGAAATTACGTACGTTACCCGATCTCCATTACTCACTCTAGAAATCTTTTCATTTTTCATTAATTATTTATTTCAGTTTTTCTGTAGAGTGTGTACACTTGCCAGAAAGAGACAGAGAGAGAGAGAAAGTGAGAAATCTCCTCCCGGGGGTTGGCTATGCTGCAGTCTCTTCTCCATTCTCCTCTTGGGATTTTGGGCACACACACACACACACACACACACACACACATGTGCTTGGCATGATTCTCAAGCCATTGGGCCAGGGACTCAAACTGCCCAGTCAGCCCTATGGGATCTAGCACCTTAACCTCCATGTTGTCTACAGGTGAGGGCACTGAGGCTTGTGAAAAGATCAACTAGCATATTTGAGATCTCACAGATCAGGACAAGGACCACGTCTATTTTGACTCCAGAGCCTGTCCTTTGCATTGAACCAGGGATTATCAAACTCTGCTCCATTGTACAGGGAAGGGGCAGGGTGAGGAGGTGTGAGGGTTTGTCCTCGTAAACAATTGCACGGATATTGGGCATCCTCCTTTAGGAGAAGGGATACTTAGATTAAACCAAAACTTTAAAATGCTTTTGTTCCATCTGAAAATGCCATCATTATTATTGCCTATAATTATTTAATGATAGTTTTAGCATAGACATTGAACCCAATCATAATTCTTCCACCAGAATCAGATAACAAAAAAATTAGCCAACATTTCACTAAGTATTTGCATGTAACAAGCTTAACTAACCATTATGCCTACTAGGGAAGATTTCTAGAAATACAGAATGGTTGATAAGAAATGCATGAATCAGCAGTGCCTACAGATACTGGACAAGGTGGACGCTTTTCCCCTTTTAGGGGTGTGTGTGTGTATTTGTATGTTTTTATACATACACACACCACACACACACACACACATATATGATCTACTTATAGAAAATAATACTAGAAATGTAATGATATCCTCAGGATGTTGGTATTAGTGATCATTTTTATTTTCTTATTTGTGTATTTTATTTATTGAACAAAATTTTTCAATGAACATGTTATTTTTATAATTAGTTTTAAATTTATTTTAATAAAGGTCTGTAACGCCATGATATAGTTCTAAAGTTTAGACTGTTTTTTCTTAGTAACTGTTTTGTTAAGCTTTGAAGTGAGTGTTCACATGACTAAAATTGATATTGTTTATTTATTTATTTTTGGAGAGATTTTTGCTATAGGGCGCGTGCGCTCGCCGGACAGACAGAGACAGAGAGACAGAAGGCAAGAAATCACCCCCCAGGGGGGATGGCTACGTTGCAGTCTCTTCTCCTCCATTCTCCTCTCGGGATCTTGGGCACGCACGCACATGTGCCTGGCATGAGTTTAAGCCACTGGGTCCAGGACTTGAACCACAGTCGACTACATGGGAGTCCAGCGACATAGCCATTATGCCAACTGCTGGTCCCGTTATTGTTTATTTTTATCATTTAAATAAATTAATTTCAAAATTGAATATTAAGACGTGTGAGCCCTGGGCCAGCCTGTGATGTGATCATAAGGGTGGCTGGATCTGGCATGGCCAACGGTGTGTTTGAGGCCTGGATTCGGTGACTTGAAAGACATTCTGGGCACGTATGTGTGTCTGAAATCCCAAGAGGAGGGAGAAATGGAGAAGAAATCGTGGTGTGAACATTCCCCATGGCTTTCTCACGTTTCTTCTCTCCCTCTGTCTCTGGTGAATCGTATGTGCCCTCTGGCAAATTAAAAAAAGAAAAAAAGATATATAAGCCTCTTTTTTATGTTATTCTTTGTAAATATAATAAAAAATATCAATAGGGTAGTCTAAAAGGGTAGTATATACATTTTTAAAACTGATACTTTGGATTTTAACTACACGGCAATAAGTAGATTTATATAATTATAAATAAGTAAATTTTTATAATTATTAATACCAACATCCTGAGGATACTGCTTACACTTCTGATATATTTTCTGCAAGTAGATTTAATGATGACATCTGGGTATAATTTTGTTTTATTTTATTATTACTATTATTATTATTTTTAGGTTTTTGCTATAGGGCATCTGTGCTTGCCAAAGAGACAGAGAGTGAGAACTCACCTCCCGGGGGATGGCCACATTGCAATCCCTTCTCTTCCACCCTCCCCTTGGGATGTTGGGCATGCATGCGCGTGCACTCGGTGTGATTTTCAAGCCATGGGCTCCTGGACTCAAACCGAGGTCAGCCATGTGGGAGTCAAGTGCCTTAGTCACTATGGCACCTGCTGGCCCCTATATTATTATTTTTAAGCAGTTGTAGTTGTATGAACACAGGAAAACATATATTCCTTTCCATGTCAAAGAGTAAATATGAGTACTTAAAATGTTCAACAATAATTTTCTTTTTTTCTAAAGAGCTTTTAAGTTTTTGATTTGTTTGTTTATTTATTTATCCTACGAGAGAGAAAAGGAAAGAGAGACAGGTTCCCCGAACAGGGTCTCCACGTCATGACCCATCCCCAGTGTCAGCTGGCTTAGATCATGGGCGTGCACGTGTGTGCCCAGCACACTCAGGGAGGCCCTGGGATGTGAACCCAGGACTTTCCTCATGTGGGTCAGTCACCTGACACCTGTGCCATAGTCTGACCTCAAGAAGAATTTATTCGGTTCTTGCTCCACGTGCTCTTATATCCATGGCCTTTTAAGTTTCTGTGGCTGTGTGGAAATATGAAAGCATGTGCAGCCAGCTCTGGTTAAAGAGAAGTAGGCAGCTCGTTTCTACCACGTGCTGGTGACCAGCTGCAGAAGCAGCAAAACAGAACCCATAACCTAGCTCCTAATTAAGTTCTTCCGGTCCGTAAGTGGGAGTGTGGGCAGTGAGATAACCAGAACTTTCCCTTGACCCGTACTGTTGCTCCTGGAAGACTGGACATCGTGGTGGATATTTCGGAGCCTTTAACCTCACTCATCGCCACTCTGCACTGTGTCGGTCCCTGTGGCACTGCATACTGGCAAGCTGTAACTCAGGGAGCTGAATTTCAGGGCAGGAAGCATTAGGAATAAAAAGTGCAAAAATGGGGAATCAGATGAATTAGATTTGGGGAGTAAAAAAACAAGTGTGACGGAGAACCCAGAAGTGAGATGGACCGACAATTTATTAATCAAGGTCGAAATTTTTGCAGGCTTTGTTTCAGGCTGGAGAACTTAAATGGGGGACAGATGAAGAGAAGTTTATCACCATCTTTGGAACACGAAGTGTGTCTCATTTGCGAAAGGGTGAGTGAATAATACTTGTAAGGGACAGGTGTCTCTGGTAAATTTGGAAGTCCGCGTGTGAGTCAGCCTGCTCCATAGGCATGTTCTCAATGACTCCATTTTTTTATTTCTTCCTTTTGGTGAAATCTCGTAATTCTCTTTGCTGCTACTGCAGCTTTTATAAAACTAGAGATGCTTAGTCTGTCCTTCACGATTAGAGTATGGTGAGGGAGGTCAGGCCTTGCCATTGTTAGCTCTCATAGACAAAGTCACAGAGTAGGGGCTTACTGCATGCATCTCCCTAGACGCTGGTAAACGTGACTTCATCTCTGGACATTATCAGTGGAGAATGAGTGCAATGGCATGTAATACAAAACCCTAATAGTAATAGCCTTAAAAATTGGCCTTTTTAAAAAAATAATTACTTCTTATTTAACTTTATTTACTTATTTTAATTTAACCGGAGAGGGACAAAGCAAGAGAGAGAGAGAGAGAGAGAGAGAGAGAGAGAGAGAGCACAAACAAGCTATTAGGTCTGGGACTCAAACTGAAGTCAGCCATATGGGAGTCAAGCGTCCTTAACCAACATGCCCTGCCAGCTCCTAAAAATTGAACTATTTTGTAGGTAGGAGTCCATGGATATTTGGCAGGACCTGGGATTTTTTTGGCTTTTTTGCTCTGTTATCTTTAGTCTTTCTTTTTCATGCTCATTTACCTCATCGTCACAAGATGGCTGCTGTAGCTTCAAATATCATCATTATCATAAATAATAGAAATAAGGGAAAGGAGTACACTAGTTATATCTATTACTTTCAATAAGGAAAGAGAAATATTTCTTAGAATCTCCTCCGGCATGTTTACCTTTAGGTGTCATTGGTTGTAACTAGTCAGGGGAGCTGGGAAATTAGTAAACAAAGAATACTCATAACCCGTTGCTTAATACTTGGCACATTGAGGCTCAGGATTCAAGTTCTGTCCGCAAGGAATAAAGGGAGATTTGTGTTCAAGAGGACAATAAATAGTCAAATAAATATCTTCTTTCTGGAAAGAGGGATTCTTAAGTGATAAGAAATCATGTTCATTTTTTTTCTAGTGTTTGACAAATACATGACTATATCGGGGTTTCAAATTGAGGAAACCATTGACCGGGAGACTTCTGGTAACCTGGAGCAACTGCTTCTTGCTGTTGGTAGGTCATTTTATCATGTGTGTAATACTTAATAGTGACAAGGGCTAAAGTTTACTCAATTAAGGCTCTATCTGGAAATAACCACCCATTCTCTTTTGAGAGGTTTTTTTTTTTTTGCTATAGGGCACGTGCACTCGCCAGACAGACAGAGAGAGACATAGAGACAGAAAGCGAGAAATCACCCCTCAAGGGGGATGGTCACGCCGCAATCCCTTCTCCTCCATTCTCCTCTCGGGATCTTGGGCAAACACACACAGGCGCCCGGCGTGAGTTTTAAGCCACCGGGTCCGGGACATGAACCATGGTCGACTACATGGAAGTCCAGCGACATAGCCATTACACTAACTGCTGGTTCCTCCATTCTCTTTTTTTATTAAATAAATGTTTATTTTTTATTCATTCATTTATTGTAATTTGACCAGACAGAGACATAAAGAGAGAGAGGGAGAGGGAAAGTGAGAAAGCAAGACACTGGGTCTGGGACTCGAACTGTGGTCAGCCATGTGGGAATGTCCAGCACCTTAACCACCACGCCACCTGCCGGCCCTAATAAATGTTAAGATAATTATTTTAAAATAATTTTGAAGGTACATTAAAAGTATTCATATTTCACTTGGAACCAAAAATATTGCAGGTTACTATCTCAGAGGCTTGTTAACCATGATTTCTGCTATCTGCAGAATTTTAGAATTCTTTTGAACACCATCCTTAGCTTCGAAGGAGACTGAGAAATTGTCATCTGCTTTGGAAGATACCCTTGATTTACTAGAAGATGTGATGATGATTACTTGCAAATGAAATAATTTGGAATTTTATTTTAACTAAATATTGAGAATAACCTGGAATAACTGGAGTGCTGAGTTTGTATGTTGATTATAGTATTATATGTTCTCCAGACCCAGGGAGAATCTAGTCTGTGAGGTTTATTTATTTATTTATTTATTTTTTAGTTTATTATAGGGGATGTACTCACTAGAGGAGGAGGTGGGAAGAAATCACCCAGGCGAATGGCCAGGCTGCAGTCCTTTCTCCTCCATTCTCCTCTCAGGATTTTTGAGCACACACACACACACTTGTGCCTAAAAAGATCAGCTTGGCTTGATTTTCAGGTGCAGGGTCTGGGACTCAAATTGTGGGGTTGGCCATGTGAGATCCAGGCACCTTAACCTCCACACTACTTGCTGACCCCTGGTTTGTGAGTTTTTAGTGAACTTAGGTTCACATTGGTCTATGTACTATTTGCTCCAAGTACCAGGCATTGAGCTCAAACTTCCACGTTTTCCGTCTTCCGTAGAATGAACTAAAGCTGTGGATGAACCAGTATTTAAAGTAGCCTTATATTTAAGTATGCAGTTAGTAAACTTCTTTAGAAAATATAAAACGTGTAGATAGTTCTATCTTAGTTAGAATACACATAAAAATCATGACTTTTTTTGTTGCTGGCAGCTGTTTTTATCAAGCATTGGCACAATTCAAGGAATGCTAGATTTTTGTTTTGTTTTGACTTTGTTTAGACTAGAGAGGGCCTATTCACACTTGAGAAAGAAGGAGGGAGGAGGAGGGAGGGAGGAAGAGAGAGAACCCCCACAGGGTTTGGTTCATGCCTAGGCTTTTAGCTCATTAGGACCTTGGGCGCACACCTGTGCATCTGTGTGCTTCAGGTCAACCAGGCATCCAGACCCACAGTCGGCCATATGGCTTCCAGACTGCAACTCAGTACACTGCCAACTGCACCGACACTGGCCAGGATCATGATTGCTGCATACTAAGCAATTTCCATGATAGGTTTTCCAGAGCTAAGCAGACTCATATCTGAGCAGCCTTCACCTACCTTAGACATTTCCATGTTCAGAGCAGATACAGATTTTTTGACCTCAGTTTATCTGAGTGTGTGTCCTGAAGCAAACAAATCTCATGCTACTCTGCAAATCATGGATTTGGAGGAAGGTTTTTGCTATAGGGCACGTGTGTTTGCTAGAGAAACAGAGAAGGACAGTAAGAGAGAAAATGAGAAATCACCCCAAGAGGGAACGGCCATGTTGCAGTCCCATCTCTTCCATTCTCCTCCTGGCATTTTGAGAATGACGCACATGCACCCAGTGTATTTCAAGCTTCTGTGCCTCAGTCTTGAACCGTGGTCAATAAACGAGGGAGTCCTGCATCTTAATCATCACGTCACCTGCTGACCTTGTAAAACATTTTTTTTTAATGTACCTAGTTATATTCTAAGAAGATAGTTCAAGATTTTTTTTTCTTTTTCTTTTTTTTTTCTTTTTTTGCTATAGGGCGCATGCACTTTCCAGAAAGACAGAGAGAGACAGAAAGTGAGAAATCACCCCCTGGGGGGATGGCCATACTGCAGTCCCTTCTCCGTTCTCCTCTCAGGATCTTGGGCACACATATACATGCGCCCGGCATGCGTTTAAGCCACTGAGTCCGGGACTTGAACCACGGTCAACTAAATGGGAATCCAGCAACATAGCCATTACACCAACTACTGGTCTTGATAGTTCAAGATTTCTTAGAGATTAAATAGAGTAGTGATCTTAAATTATTTGCTTGAGTGCCTCAGAATGAACAAGATATTTGTGTAAGATGTAATTTAATGATGGTGAAGAAGTTCGTGGCATGATAACAATCCAGGCTGCCTCCGAAAAGTACTCACAAGGGGCATAGAACTAACTCACACCCCTGCTTGTACTTGCCTTTCTATGTGGAGCTCAGAACTCCCAGGAAAACCTAAGCCAGCATCGAAGAAAATACTCAGTGAAGGAGGAGATCAGGTCAGCCTGCAAGCTGGCAGCCCTTTAGCCTCTCTTCCTTCGTTTTTTCCTGGAGAGAAATTTTTGCTGTAGGGTGCATGTACTCACAGGGAAGACAAATAGAAAGGGAGAAATCACCCCTGTGGGTGTGGCCACACTGTAATTCCTTTTCCATTCTCCTCTCAGGATCTCCAGCACGCACGCACGCTTGCACATGTGCCTGGTGTGAGTTTCAGGGTGCTGGGTCCGGCACTTGAACTGCAGTTTGCCATGTGGGGGTCCAGTGCCTCAACCACCATGCCACCTGCTGGCCCCTAGCTGTGTTACCTTTATACTCTGAGAGCAGTAGTGCCATAAACACAAGGCAGCCTTTAATTTAAATGACTTAGACCGTTTTCTCTCTGAGCGGCCACTGACCGTTGCATTTTTTTTCTTAGTGAAATCCATCCGAAGTATTCCTGCCTACCTTGCAGAAACTCTGTACTATGCCATGAAGGTAGGCGGATGCTCAAATCTTCTAAGAGATTTACCTTTCTGATTATCTTCTTCACCGACTGTCTCTGTTTTGGATGATAGACCTCAGGAGTTTTTCTCTCTGAACACATGTAGCTCAGTGCTACTCGATTGCTTTCCTTTGTTGATTCATCCCTACTCGGCAGTGTTTGGTGCTGGTGGGACATTTTTAAACACTGTGTCTCTCTTCTTCCTTTTTAAAGGGAGCTGGAACAGATGATCATACCCTCATCAGAATCCTGGTGTCCAGGAGTGAGATTGACCTGTTTAACATTAGGAAGGAATTCAGGAAGAATTTTGCCACCTCTCTTTATTCCATGATTAAGGTAAATTATGTTTAAAAATCTTTATGTTTAGAAATCCAGAGCAGATCAAGGTATAGCCTACACGATGTGGTTGCGTGTTAAGTTTCACGTTTTAGTAGTAGGAGTAGAGTGAGGGGGTATAAAGCTTGGCATGATGTTTCCTGAAGCAGGATGATGGGTCCAAGGGAGAGCTTGGGCGCTGGTGTGACCAAGGCTCTGGGGGGACTTTAGAAGCATTACTTTGTGGTGCTGACGGGTAACTCAGCACCTCAGTCTCTTGTCCGTGGTGATGTCCTGTCTGTCTGCATCAGTCCCTGCTGTCTTTATTAGTTCCTCCGTTCTTTCCTGTCAGTTTTTCTGTCCTCTGTTGTCTGATATAGCATCTGTTCTGATGTCTGTTTCATGGTTCAGGAAAGAACCAACCAGGTCATGTATGGATAGGTGGGGAGCCCGGGTATTACTGTCATTTGTGTTTTTTTCTTTTAAAATTTTTTAATTTCATTTATTATCATTGTTGTTATGTATTCCTAATTGGACCAGAGCGAGACAGAGAGAGTGAAAAAGCAAGCCAGCAAGACCGGGACTTGAACTAAGATCTAGCGCCTTTAACCACCATGCCATCTGCTGGCCCTCATTTGTGTTCTTTTAAAAGCAAGATACTCAGTGCCTGTTGTCAAAGTTGGTCTGAGGCCTTTGAGCTTTTATTTAATCGGGGTTTATATGGGCCATGTGCAAAAGCAGGATTTCAGCTGAGTAAAAGGTTTTAGTGTCATGTGTGTGCGGTGTGACTGGGCCGAGGGCCCTGGAGTCGACTCCTATACTTGCAGTGTGACACACTGAGTTACTGTACACGAGACAAGCAGACACTGAGCCTGTCCTGCCTGCCTGTCTTTGAACTTCCAGGCAGGTCCAGCATCGGCCTCTTTAGCCAGATGTGTGCCACGTGATAGAAACATAAGGTCTATTTGGAAAACTTGATTTTTTTTTTTTTTAAACAAAAATTTCCAGAGGGCATGGTGTTTGCCTGGAGACACAGGGGTTGGGGAGGTTTTGAGAAGGCAGCCCCCAAGGGAGATGCTCACACTGCAATCCCCCTCCTTCATTTCTCCCTTCTTTTGGGATGCTGGGCATGCACACACATGGCCTGGCATGTTTCACGTGCTACTAAAATTGGGACTCAGACCATGCAGTCGGTGGGATCTGACCACCTTAACCAGCAGGCCATCGACTGGCCCAGAAAGGTCGATTTTAATGTAGTTGTAAAAGTTTCTCCGTCTGCTGTGTGGTTAGAAGGAAGATTTGACTTCACCCCCTTTGAGAGAACTGTGTCTTTAAGGGGTAAGAGTAGAAAGTTAAGGGTAAGTTACTTTGGTGGGAAACTCCCTATGTAACATTCCCGATGTGAAAGTCACGTAGAAAGATCACTCACTGGGGAGGACGGTCATACGAATCAAATGTGTTACCAGATAGCTCTTAGTTTTCGGTTTTTTTTTTTTTTTCCTATGGCCTCTGTGACTCATGGAAGTTAATGGAGTACATTTGGGTTTCAGGGTGACACATCTGGGGACTATAAGAAAGCCCTCCTGCTGCTCTGTGGAGGGGAAGATGACTAACGGGCCACCAGCAGAGAGATCCCAGCGCCTGCCTGCTGCCGCCTGCCACTGTCCTCCCAGCGCACCTCGCCGCACTTGTTAGCTGCCAGTGCTTGACACATTGCCTTACTTGTACTAGCGTGCTAGCGACCAAAACGCACGGCACGGAGAAAATAGCGGTGCTCCCTTCTGATCTTTGGTGGAGGTCTTTGCCTTTCACTGTGGTAGTACTGAAGTGCACTTACGTTGCTAACTCTAATGCCTAGGTCTTTTATATTTTCCTTTAAGAGGTTAGATTGCTTTTAGCCTCTTTTAAAAACTTCATTTATATTAAATTGACAGCCATATTACCTTAATCAGAACCATAGCCTTGGAATTATAAATGCCTGGAAGTGTTGTTAATCAAGGTAGCTATGAAATTAAACCTGCAACATTATGCTAGTTATATTCAAAGGATTAATGAAAAATAAATCTTTCCCCCTGTATTGTGTGTGCATAGAAAATTTATTTACTATTTTAACTATGAGATCTTGTTTCATTTTTCTTTCTTTTTTTCTTAAATTTTTAATTCTTCAGAGCGTGCGTGTGCTTGCCAGAGAGACAGAGAGAGAGAGAGAGAGAAAGAGAGAAAGCACCCCCTCCCTCCTGCCATGGCGGATTGTCATGTGTAATCTCTTCTCTTTCATCTCTGTCCTTTGGGGTTGTTGGGTGTGCACACACATCTGACATGTTTTTTCCAAGCAACTAGTTGTGGGACTTGAACCACACAGGTGGCCATGAGGAATCCAGCTGTCCCATCCACTGTACCACCAGCGGCCCCCAGTATCTTTAACAATGGTGTTAAGAACCATATTTACAGTTGGTCTTTTGGGCAATAAAAAGTGCAACATTATAAATCATGAATTTGTAATGAGGGAAAGGTTGACGGGGTTTCTCACTTACTTGCAGCTCATTTATTTGGGCATCAGTAAGGTGCTCCTTGCTCGGTAAGAAAGCTAGTTTTAAAAGTGAACTTAAAAATTCACAGTACTACGTTTCTCTTTCCTACTGTAAACGTGTCTCCCCATTTGCCATCTGCTATTATACCTTCTTTGAGATACGGATAGGCCATCTTATTTAGGAAGGGGAAGTGTCTTTATCTCTTCCAGTATTCACCTTTTAGTTTCCTGCTTTTGAACTGCCTCTTTGGTGGGTGTCATTTTTCTTTTTGTACTTACACTCTTAGAGATAATTTTTTTAATGCAAAGTGATTCCCATTAATAGCAAGACATATTTTATAAAGTGGACTATTCTTCCTTTGAAAGTTTTTTTTTTTTTTGAGAGGTTTTGGCCTTAAGGCACATGTGCTCACTGGGGAGAGAGACAGAGACAGTGAGAGGGAAAGTGAAAAATCACCTCCCTAGGGGAGATACCATGTCACAATCCCTTCTTTTCCATTCTCTTTCTGGGATCCTGGGCATGCACGCACATGCTCCTGGTGTGATTTTTAAAGCCACAGAGTCTGGGATTCGAACCATGGTTGGCCTTGTGGGAGTCCAGCATTGTAACTGCTATGCCATCTGCTGCCCCTCCTTGAAAACTTTTAAATAGGGATAATGTTCTTTTCACAACCTTCAGTGCTCATACGAACAACCCGGGGAACTTTAATTGTGTGTGTGTGCACATATGACATGATTTTTTTTTCTTCTAAATCTCCATAAGCAGTTTTGATGCAGGACCAAGTTGAAAAATCAGTTGCTTGTACCTTTGAAAGGTGATATGCTTCAAAGAGTTCTGCTTTGTTTTGTTTTTGCCTTTTTTTTTTTTTTTCTTTATCATAGGGCGCATATGCTTGCTGGAGAGAGAGATAGAGAGGAAGAGAGGGAAAGTGATAAATCATTCCATGGGGAGATGGCCGTGGCACAATCCCTCCTCCCTCTTCCATTCTCTTTTGGGATTTTGGGCACGCACGCGTACGTGTGTGGCATATTTTTCAAGCCTTCAGGTCTGAGACTAGAACTGTGGAGCGACCTTGAGGGATCTAGCACCTTAACCACCATGCCCCTGCTGGCCCTGTGTTTTTATTTTATAGCTCTGGCTTTAAATATAAGCCCTATATTCCTTGTCTTGCTTCAAAATAAATGAACTAATGAGCTTTAACACTTATTGTCTTGGTCTAGTTTGAGGCCCTCTGCCGTACTTTTCCTGTGAATTTATTGTGATACAGTAAGTTTTCTGAAGTAGACAAGCTGACTCAAGATTTCATGTGAAAAAAGAATTGTTAGTACGTGATAAAGGTAGGTTTTAACTTGCTGTGAAAGACGGAATTTTTTTTTCCTATATGGTGTGAAGATGATCGGGCAGCCATCTAGGAAAATATAAGGTTAGAGTCATGATAGGTCAGGTTAGTATCAAAATTAATCAAAGACATAAACATGAAATGGAGTCGTAAGCATTATTAGACATGCAGAGGGATTCTTTCATAGCCCTGTCTGTTAGGTTCTCTGGGAAGTCAATACCCACATGGAGTTGTGGGTGCAAGAGGCTAACTGAAAGGAAAAGCAGGAGGAGGATTGGGTAGGGGTGTTGTGAGCCTGCTGCAGCTGGACTTGGTCTCTGGCAGGAGAATGTGAAGCTCTGAGCAAGGATTCCCACCCTGAAGACCACGGTGGGTGGGTGAGTGGGCCCAGCACTGCCATGTCACCGATGCTGGATGGGTGATGCCTAGAGGAGATCTCGGCTCTGCTGAACAACCAGGGTGACCCGGTCGGAGGCTGTCAGTAACTTATCCCCTCAGCTTGGAACTGAGTCTTAAGAGGAATCTGAGTCTGCAGCCCCAAGTCTGCCATAATAACCCGAGGAAAGACTTTTCTCCTTCCCTTTTAAAGTTTTATTTCACAGGGAGGGAGAGAGAGAAGTACCCTCAACAGGGTCTGAAGCCACGATTTTCCCCAAATCCTCCCAGCCAGCCAGACTCATGAGCGTAAGTGTCTGGTGTGTGTAGGTCCACCGGGGAACCAAACCTATGACCTTCCATGGGAAGCCAACATTGCTTGAGAGTGTGCTACCATTGCGCTACCTAGCCAGTACTGGAAGGAGGCCTTCCTAACTATCTTCCAGATCTAGAAGGCGTAAGAGAAAAGGTGATTGTTTTTCATTGTCACAGGATGTGGGTGCTAGGCACAGAGAGAAAGAGACAAGAGAAAGAGAAAGCACACCTCCCGCCAAGGGACATAGTCACGATGCAGTCCCTTCTCCATTTCTCTGTCCTGTCAGGATTTGGGGACACACATGTCCAGTGTGTTTTTTAAGCTCCAGAGCCAGATTTGAACCATGGTCAGCCATGTAGGATCCAGCGCCCTTAACTACTAGGCTATAGGGCAGCCCAAGATGGTTGTTTTTGACTATGTAAAAATAAGTATTTCTGGTAAATGGTGTGGTGGTTAAGGCATCTGGATTCCACATGGCTGACTACGAGGTTAGAGTGCTGGGCCTGATGGTGTGAAAAGTACACTGGACGAGTGTGTGTGCATGCTCAAAATTCCTAAAGAAGAGAAAAGTGGAGGAGAAGGGACTGCATGACGATTCCCCACAAAGGGTACTTCCTCACTTTCCCTCTGTCTCTGCCAAGTGCACGCAGCCTCTGGCAAAATTAAGAAAATCCAAAACTTTTGTGTGATGAATGGAGGAAGGGAGGGGACAAAGAAGGAAGGAAATAGAATCACCACCTATAAGAGAGTTTAAAGGACAAATGAAAAACTGGGAAAATATTTGCAGCTTATATAATAAAGAGCTAATATTTTTACATGCGTAATTCCTAGAAAGCAAAAACCAAGTATTTGTTTTGCTATTTGAAATATGTAGTTTGTTACCTGTTAGAAAACACGTGTCTATCTGTTAGGTTGTTGGAAAAGGCATGACGTATTTTTCTATGCTCTATACTTTCCTGACAACTCAATAACAAAGAAATTATGGGAGGGCATTGGTGTCAGCGGCCATTTTCCCCTGTGGAAACCTACCCCCTCACACACACACACCCTTTTTGTGTTTTTCTTAAGACACTTTAGAGGAGGGAGGTCTGTGGCTTAGCCTACATTTCCCATTTCCAAAGAGCCTGAAAATTTACTGTAATATTCCCTCTATGTGCTTTACATCCAAGTTCTTATATATACCACATATATGTGAACAGCATGGACATTTCGTTGTAGCATGGCTTCTGATAACAAAATGGTGAAACAACCTAAAAGCCCATCAGCAGGGCCAGGACAAAGGAACAATGGTCCTACGTCGAATGGATACTACAGTTATAAAAAGTAAGAAAGTCCCATATGTATTTGTTTGTTTGTTTGTTTGCCAGAGGGCAAGTGTGCTGGCTGGAGAGACACCCCGTGGGGGATGGTCACTTCCCCATTCCCCTCTCAGAATTTTGGACACAGATCCATATGCCCCCAGTATGGTTTTCCAGCTGCTGGGTCTGGGACTCGAACTGCATGGTCAGCCATGTGAGATCCTGCCACCTTAACCACCACACCACAGGCTGCCCCCCATTTGATAACAAGTTTAAGTTATTTTCTTCCATGATCAAGAGGCAGAAGGAGAGAGGGGCACCCCCCAACAGAGTCTTGACCCTGACCCACCCTGTGTCCCCACCTGTCCTGGATCAGGGCACAGGTGCTCAGCACACTCAGGCATGGGTTGGACCTGGATCCGGAACCCTCGGGCCTGGGTCAGCCTTGCAGTGTCCGGTTTCACTGCTGCACCACTAGCCGCGCCCGGGCATACTGATACAGAAAAGGACGGAGGAATTGAGGACTATGGAGGAATTCAGTTAAACGAGAACAGGAAGACGCAGAAGAACGGTCATAGACGATTACTTTTTTTTTTTATGAAAAAAAGGAAAACCAGGGATTCCTGTGAAGCAAGGCCCGCCGTGAAGCGTAGCCGGCTTCTCCAGGCAGCCCGCGTTCCTTGGCGCTTGGCCCCCTCCTCCATCTTCAAAGCCAGCAACCGTGTCACTCAGACCTCAGCTCTCCAGAACCTCCAAGTATTATGCTTAATTAAAGTAGTTATTAATTTATTAGTTAATTCGGGGGGGGGGGGGTTTCAAGACTGTCTCTGTGTGTGCGCATGCGCCCCTGCGTGCCCTGGGCTCTGAAGACTCGACGAGTCTGTGCAGTCTGTTTTGTGTCCAGTGGGTGGTGCTGTTGGCACAAGTTTAGTTCCATCACCTCCACTGCTCTTGCACCAAACTTAAAATTCTTTTCAGTACCGCAGAATGGGTATTCCTATAAAATCTCCTTCACCCCAGTAATCAGACAAAAGGCGACTCTGACTTTGCTTTGCTTTTTAAATTTTACTATCGGGTACTTGCACTCGCAGGAAAGTAAGAAAGCACCGTTGGAGGGAGCGGCGGCCACACAGCAATTCTCCATTCTTTAGGGATTTGGGGCACGCATGCACATCACCTGGTGCGTTTTTTCAAGTTGTTAGGTCTGGCACTCAAACT